TAATTTTTATATGTATTTTTTAAATACCTAACAAACTTCATTTATGAATATTATGTCATTCTATTTGCTATCACAAAATAGGTATAAAGTCATCGGCTTTTTTCATCATTATTTTAGTTATCATTTAAAATGTCTAGTTGAGTCACGTACTCTTAATTTTCAATTATTATTATCACCAAGATGCTGTTAGCCGATAAAGTATTTGATTATTGAACATATTTTTCTTAAGGACGTGGTGGTAAGAGTTCAACATTCGCTTTAGCCCAAAATGCGATATTAGTGAGGAAGGAGGCGTGAACTTCCTTGTAAAATTCTTTTGGCACATTAATTTTTAAAGCGTATCACGAGCTGGTAAAAGTAAAAGGAAAATGAATTGAAAGCAATTAAAATTAATTTCAAAGAAAAACCTGAAATAGCTATTGCCATCAGCAGTAATTTTTTTGTATTTTGTGCAGCTGGTAGGTATATTTTATTTTAAAGATCTTGTAGATAATGTAATCAAATTTAACAATTTTTAATTCATTGTTTTATTTAATAACAATTTAAATTGAAAACTATCATTAGAAAACGCTCATGCATCCTGTTATAACTAAATAACGTGTATTTTTTTTAAAAATCAAGTCAAGTGTTGTAATATCATTTCAAATCAAAATCTAAAAATACCTTATAACTTTCTTCAAACTGTTAAAATAAAATTATAGAACCAAAAAATTTGTAAAGTTTTTATCTGATTTACATAAAGCTGACACAGCTCAATCAACTTATTATGCCAAAAATTCGTCTATTTTAAATAATTGTGTAGATTTTGTGGTTTCACCAAAAAAAATATTTTAAAACTCAGAAAACCAAAATATATGGCTGGAGAATCTTGTATTAGTGTTGTCCAGCCTCCAGTCAGATAATTATCTTCATCAGTTGCACAATATGGTCTGGAAACACCTTCGAAACACCGCGAAAGGTAATAAACTATAACGGTTCTAATTTTTATTGTAGAACTATAACTTATAGTTATAAGCTTCATCACTTAAAACTGCATGGTATATTTATTATGTCAAGCATTTTACTATTTAATGTTTTTTCAGATTTCAGCAGTTTCTTTTGATTCTGATGAGGTTTCGCACTTAAGGACTTTTTTTAGTACATCTACTTAGAACTTTTTTCATGTAAAAACAATGATATTTTTAAAGAGCAGCTGAAAAATTATATTCTTCAGTATTCTCAAGTTGCTCTTCCTTCAGACAGTTGGCACCTTTTTTAAATTTTCAAAACTGCTTTGAACCTTTAGTAAGAATTATTTTTTTAATTCTACAATAATTTTTAGGTGTGTTTATGATGTATGCATATAGTGCTTTTGTTGTTGTTGTAATTATAGTTTTTTAAAGATAAATTCTCATAGGATTTGCTTTTAAGTCAGACATCAAACATAATTAAGCAACTACATTGGATCAAAAGTCATCCAACTTTAAATGGATCTGTAAGCAGACAGTTTTAACAGTTTTATATTATAGATTTATTATCTAAAGCTGAATTAGTGCTTTCAGAAGACCAGCTTCTTCTTGAAATTGAGGTTATGTTTTTAGTTTATTTATTATACTAATTTAATTTGGACAGCAATATGATAAGCACTACTTTAAAAATTTTACTTATCAATAATTATATAATTATAATTTTTTTTTTTCACTAAATATTTATGTTGTTGTAAATACTTTATAAAATTGTATAATATATAAAGTAATAACGCACCATAGCATGTTATTTTATACAACTTTATGATATAAAATATTTTTTTTCGTTTAAGTGATTATGTGTACTTTATTGTTTATTTTAGATTTTATATTTTTTAGAATGAGCTAATAAAATCAAAGCCTTCTATCAATGTTTTTGCAATTTTAAATAGAAATCTTTTCCAACAAAAAATATATGAAAAACACCCACTTCGATTGTCACTGTCTCCATGTTTAATTATTGCTGAGTTTAGCGTCTTTACCCACAGTATAGTTTTATAGAAGAAGCGTGTGCATTTTTTGTTAATTAAACATTTGCAGAATCTTCAAATCACCTTGAAAGTTTTTTTGATTTAAATTATAAAATAGGTTCCAAAAAAGAAAAGGATCTCTTGTTTATGAAATCTTAAGTAAGTAACATTAAATATTGATTCTTTTTATTGATTTTATATAATAAATTTCTGAAAATGTCTATATTCTTTTTGTATTAAATAATCTGCTTAATGTAGAATTCATTTATTTGTTACAAATTACAAATATTTATACAAGATGCAGATTTCAGTATAAACTCAGTATAAAAAAAATAAAACACTTATACAATACGTTAATTATAAAGCAAAAACAGATTAAAAGCTGAAAAGAAGAAAAATCATAAAATAGCAGCTGAAAAGATTAAAATCAAATCTTTAGTTATTTGTGTAGAATAGTAATGATTTAATCTGGTAGAATAAAATCTTTTATAATATTTGAATTGCTAACTTGAAAAAGGTGACATGGCCTGCCAAATTTCATATAACATGTCCCCTTTTTCAAGCTAGCAATTCATTTAGAAAATTCCTGAGTTAAATTAAATTTTTAGAAATAGTATAATTAAAGTTCGATATGTTTTTTTTAAGTCTGAGGATGAGTTGAATGAGCGAGGATATGCTCGATGAGTTGAAGTACCTACAAAATACGGCCAACAAGTTCTGTATAACTTAACACAATATGGCGTTCATAGTAGATCGGGGTGTGAAATCAATATTAAATATTTTATGGATCTGTTCAATTCTTTTTATTGATTTCATTTAACGAGTTTATGAAATGTCGACATTCTTTTTGCATTAAATAATCTACTTAATGTAAAATTTATTAATTGTTTTATTAAAAATATTTATACAAGATGTGCATCTCAGTATAAACTTAGTATTAAAAAATTGAAAGCATTTACACAATACATTATTTATAATGCAAAAATAGATTAAAAGCTGAAAAGTATAAAACTCATGACATAGTAGCTGAAATGATTAAAATCAAATTTGTTTAGTTATTTTTATAGAATAGTAATGATTTTAATGTGGTATTGATTACATGAATTAAATGCTCGATGAATTAAAGGTACCTGCAAAGTATGGTCCGTATGTTCTATATAACTCAACACAATATGGGGTTCACAGTAAATCAGGGTGTGAAATGATCAACACACAAATGCGGACGATTAGAGAGGTTTTATGCGTTATTGTTTGCATTTGCTATTTGTTAGACCTCTCTTATCCATCTTCTTTTTCACAACTGATGGGTCTTTTTCAAGAGATGTTGCTAAACGAATGCTTTGAGAAAAAATCAAAAAATACTTGCTCTTATATTGCTCATATAAACAGTTAACTAAATTTTATGGTGTCTTTAAGTAACGCTAGTTGTTTACTTTATTAATTTATTAAAATGCGTCATTTTATATTTAAGTTGTTACTTAAAAAACCAGTCGGGATATAAAACTTTCATTGAAATAATTCTTTTTGTAATGTTTTGAAAATGTATTTATTCACACATGTTTAAAAATATGAAACCTATTTCTTAGTTTAAGCAGTTTTATAAAAAATTATTAGTAGATTCTTATCATGTTGATATGAAAATAGTTTTTCAAGGTATATTTGCAGTGTTCTATTTACAATTATGTTAGAGTGGTTTTATTTCGTCATTGTATAATATTTTGTAATATATATTTTATGCCTTAATAGTCTACATCAAACTACTACATCAAACTATTGTTAATAATTTACGCATATAAATGGTTAGTTTAGATTTTATTTGAATAAAAACATAACATGTTTAAAAGAATATAACGGCAAATTATGCCGTTAGCTTGATTTTCGAATATAACGCCATATATAATGCCATTGGAGAGCGATATAACAGCATTTTGCTGTTATTTATATTTATATATTAGCATTTTGCTGTTATTTTTGCTGTTATTTAACTTAATATAACGACATAAGGTAAAAATATAACACCATAATAACACCATAATGACACAAAATAACGCCATTTATGCTGTTATATCGTATCCCAATTTTTTAGTGTGTAGTTTTATGCTAGACTTATGCTCTTTCCAATAATGTAAAACAATATAATGTTTAAATAATTTGAAATATTTACTGATCTACCTACTTAGTTTATGCGTTTTTTTCTAAATTATAAATTTTTTATTTCAAAATTAAGGTCTCTCGAAAAATGATGTTTTACAATCGCTCTTCTTACAATTTCATTTTAAATGGTGGTTCTAAATTTGAAATGGTTAATAATTAAAAATTTAAACTTAAATCTGTCATCTAACTTTTGTCTACCAATCACTCATCGGGTTGCATATTCCAAGTATAATTTTACATTATAAACATTATCCAGTCTAGACAATAATACGTCTGACATTTTTGCGCAAAGTTCGGCTAAACAGGCACATTTATTTAACTATCTACAAAAACAAACGTTTCTATTTCTTTTTTCTGGTTTTAGCAAACTCTTGTGAAAATCTAGGGGACTTGTATTTATTGCTTCACTGTTCGAAAAAATAACAAACTAAATACATTACTAAATTACACCTTAATGAACGATATTAACTCAACAATATTTAGGATAATAGTAAATCAACAATATTATTTTGTTAATAATTTATTTAATATTGTTCAATCCTTTCGTTGGACACCTTTTTTCTTATACCCAGCAAAAAATTTCTAGAAAGAGGTACATCTTACAAGAACAATATTAAAATGGACACTTTGTTTAAAATAAATATGATTGCAAATGTATACCTACCTTCATTTTTTTTGCCATGACAACAACCTTTTTGCCATAGTAATAACACTTTTAACATCATTTTACAACAATCTTTTTTTATATACTTATGTACTTAAGAAATATGTTTTCATAAAAACCTGTTTAGCAGAATTAAAATTAAAAGGTTTTAATTAAAAAAATTAATTTAATTTTGCAGCACTCAGTCGCGTGATAGAATTTCACGGCTACACTCAAAAGCCCTTAAAAAAAAACTTAAATGAATAATAACCTAGTTATACAACTTGAAAAGACACGTGATACGTGATATTGCCGTGATAAAACTTGTTAACAGCTAGAAAGGTCAGAGTAAAATAAAGTGAAGGAAAAAAAATGATCTTTACGCTCATAATCTCTTTGTTTTTTGTATTCAATGAAGTAGTGGAAGGAGGTTTGATCATCAGATCAAAAGACGGATTGGAACCAAAAGAGACATTGTATAAAAAGACAGCTGAAAATATTTGTGTAGCTAAAAATGGTCTAAACTTTAATGGCGACTTTCTTCAATTATGCGTTAATGGCAACATTATCAACCTTTTTGATACAAGTATTAAAATTTATTTTTTTTTGAACCTAAATTTTCCATAATATATGTCTTCATTGTCACATAAAATAACAAGATGTTTTATTAGTTGCATACCAATTATAAGATACAATTTAATATATGTACTGAAGCCCCCAGCAGCAGGCAATTTCAGTGTGCTGATGTCAGAGTGCTCATCTAAACACGCATATATATATATATATATATATATATATATATATATATATATATATATATATATATATACATATATATATATATTTATATATATATATATATATATATATATATATATATATATATATATATATATATATATATATATATATATATATATATATATATATACATATATATACATATATATACATACATATATATATATATATATATATATATATATATATATATATATATATATATATATATATATATATATATATATATATATATATATATATATATATATATATACAGGGCCGCCGCGTGGGGAGGGTCACTGGGTACTTTTTACCTGGGCGCAGGATCAGAAGGGGCGCACAAATGAAAACTTTTTTTTTTAATAAAATAGATACGCAGGGCTTTAATGGAAAATCTCTTTAAACTCCTAATTTAAAAATGAATTGTTTACTCAAAAATACAGCATTAGCCGAATTCATATTCGGGAGTCTGACACTAGCCAAAACCGTTGCGGGAATATATTACTTTTAAGGCCTTCTAGGTTAAAAAAGAACATATATAATCATATATATATATATATATATATATATATATATATATATATATATATATATATATATATATATATATATATATATATTAAATATGGAATGGTTGCATCAATGGAGTTAAAAAATGCCACCAAAACAATCCATCGAGACTATTACATTAAGTGAAAAACAGCGCTAAAAGAGAAACCAGTGCAAGATTGATTCAAGTTTAGAAAAATTGATAAGAAATGAGGCAGCCAGGCAGCGTGAAATTATAAAGTGCATCTTAGATGTAATTCTCTTTTTAGCATCACGCTTTTGAGGTATATTAGTGAATGTTAATTATTATATTTTTATTTATGTCATAATTTATTTTTATTATAATTAAACAAAAAGTCATGGTGTGTATGTGTAAACATGTATTATTACATGTATGTATTAAAATCGTCGTTTTAGACTTCAAAAATGATTTTTATGTATATAGTTAGTTTATTTTGTCGTTTTACACATTTTACAATGTTATCTTTAAATTCGAATAAATATATATATAATTACAAGCTGACAGGGGCAAGTAGAAGACATAAAGTCTTATCATCAAGCCCTTTTGTGAAATAGAGAAATATAAAATTTCTAAAATTCCAATAATATAAAAAAGAGTTAAATTAAAAATTTTGAAAAAATAAACAAACATTCAAACAAAATTAAAATAAAAATAAAAAAATTTAAAGAGTTTGAAATAAAGTAAAAAGATTGAAAAAAATTAAAAAGTTTAAAATAAATTAAAAATTAAAAAAAGTAAAAATTAGAAAGAAAAAAAAAAAATAATAATAATAATAATAAAATCTCGAAATAAAAAAATAAAAATGTATACAATGCGTAAATTAAAAAGTTTGAATTTTTTTTTACAAATCAGTACATATACGTATACATATTCAATACAAAGCGAAGTATATATTCAAAAATATTTATATATTAAAAAGATTCCAAACGTTATGTAGATTTAAATTCATTTGTTAGTATTTATTAAAAAAAGTTGAAAAAAAAACAGTCAAAGAGAAAATCAAACAAGAAAGATATATATGTATATATATATATAAAAAAAAAAAAAAAAAAAAAAAAAAAAAAAAAAAAAAAAAAGCTTTTTATCAAATTTATCAAAAAAATATTATTTTTAAAAAAATGAAAGAATGTATGTAATGTTTGAGTTTAGTAAGTGTTTTTTTATAGTTCTTTTGAATATATCAATAGATTTTATTTTTTTCATATTTTCGTCAAGAACTGACTTCCACAAGCGTGGCCCCCGACATGTAATTGAGAAGTCAGATTTTTTGAGTGATGTTGGTGGGATGTAGTAATTATTTAATGAGTGTCTTGTTTCATATTTATGGTTAATTAGAGAGAAACCTTTATAAAAATATTTTGGAATTAGTTCATTTTGAAGTTTAAACATAAATAACAAGTTATGGTATATATTTAGTTCGTATACGTTTAGCGCATTAATTTCCTTGAGTAACGGCTTGGCACTTTCGTACCTATCTGCGCCCAAAACTAATCGACTTGCTTGCTTTTGTTTAGTATAAATATTTTTTAGGAAAGATGAATGATTGTTTGCCCAGGCAATATTACAATAGTTAATATGACTATGTATAAATGAAAAGTATAAGTTTTTTAAACATATTTTATTCAAAAGATGTTTTGTCCTGTACATAATCCCCACAGTCTTTGAAACTTTGTTCTCGACTAACTTTATTTGGCTTTTCCAATTTAAATGTTCATCGAAATTTATTCCTAGTATTTTCATTGAAAAAACTCTTTTTATTTTAATATTGTTAATTGTTAGTTCTGGAAGTTTAAGTGGAAGGTTCTCGGATTGAGATGGTTTAGCAAACAAAATATATTTAGTTTTTTCAATATTTAATGATAGTTTATTTGCTATAAACCACTCATTAAGATATATTAGTTCAGCGTTTACATAATAAAAAATATTTTTTAAATTTGAGTCAGAAAAGAAAACATTAGTGTCATCAGCAAAATTAGTATAATTAAGTATTTTTGAAGACAAAAAAATATCATTGATATAAACTAAAAACAATAAAGGTCCAAGTATTGATCCTTGTGGAACTCCGCAACTTATTGATTCAAATGGGGAGCATGTTAGATCATATGGTACACCTTGTTTACGGTTTTCTAAATAACATTGAAGCCACTTTAAATTAGAGTGAACTACTCCGTAACTACGTAGTTTGTAGATAAGAATCTTGTGGTTTACAGTATCAAATGCCTTTGATAGATCTAGAAAAATTCCAAGTGTGTAACAATTGTTTTCAAAACCTTGTAAAATTTGGTTCGCAAGATCAATTACGGCATGTTCCGTAGAATGGTTTTTTCGAAAACCAAACTGTTTATGATAAAGAATATTATTTTTTTCAAGATAATTGTACAGCCTGTTGAACATAATACGCTCTAATATTTTGGAAAAACAGGAAAGTATGGAAATCGGTCTATAGTTAGATATTATTGAGTCGTCGCCGCTTTTGTATATTGGAATTATTTTTGCTAATTTAAGTTGGTCGGGAAAAATGCCGTTTTTTAGGGATAGATTAAAAATTATGAAAAGGGGTTTCTCTATGATATCAGAGACAGCTTTTACAACATCAGGTTTAATTTCATCCAGACCCGCACTTTTATTTGATTTAAGCATACTAATCGCTTGCCGAAGTTCTTCAATCAAAAGCTCTGACTCATCCATGAAGAAATCAGATTTTTTCAAAAAGGATTTAAATGATTTTTTTCCCTCCGGAATTGCATCAGCTAGTTTTTTTCCTATATTTATAAAAAAGTTGTTAAATGTTTCTGCAATTTCTTTATTTACAGAAGCATCACCTAAATTGTCATCTCTTTGTAATCTTTTTGGGAAATTGTCTTTTTTTACATTACCCACGCCTGTTATTTCTTTAATTACATTCCAAGTTTTTCTTGCATTGCCAAATGTTTTATTAAGTAATGAAGAGTAGTAATTTTTTTTTGATTGCTTTTTTAATTTTTCAAAATAATTTTTATATTTTTTGTATTTTATTTCGTTTTTGTAGTTCTTTTTTTTAAGAAATTTTTGGTAAAGTTTTTGTTTCTTTTTTGACGACTTAATGAGTCCTTTCGTCATCCACGGACTAAGCAAACTTTTAGGTTTAATAATTTTTTTAAATTTTGGAAAGGCCTTTTCGTATTGCTTAGTGAACACGTGAATAAAAAATTCATAGCCGTTATTTACGTCATTGCAATCAGTCAATAGTTCCCAGTTTACTTCTTGTAAGAGGTCTCGAAACGTGGCGAGTGATTCATTATTTATTTTTCTTTCATATACAGTTTTTGTTTTAGTATGTTTCTCAGGGTTTGCAGAATATGTACTCAGAAAAACTGGAAAATGGTCAGTTATATCTGTTTTAATAATACCACTTTGCCATTCCACGCTTGTGTAATTGTTAGTAATAATATTATCGATAATGGATGCAGTTGTTTTAGTCACGCGTGTTGGCTTGTTAATCATAGGGAAAAGGTTGTACTGCAAAAGTGTATTTGTAAAACGCACGACGTGGTTATCTGTTTTATAATTCAAAAAATTCAAATTAAAATCACCTAATAAATACACATGTTTTTTTATGAGCTTTGGTAGCAAGTAGTTTAAGTGGTTTTCAAATTGATTGTAATTACCATTAGGTGGTCTATATAATGCTGTTATAATTGCATTTTTATTTGTTTTATTAATTATTTCAATTGTAAATGACTCACAATCAACGTCATTTACTTTGAGGTTTTCTATGTACTTAAAAGTCAATGAGTTTTGGACGAATTAATGATGACGATAACGGTATTTTTCTTGCAACTCTAGAGCTACTCGCAAAGCACAACAAGACCCTTTAGTTACATCAGAAAGAGGTTTCCTGGTGTCAACATGAAGGTAAACATATTATTGTGCATTTTTTGGGTTGGAGTTCTCAAAATGAATTTATAAAAAAGTGCGAAAGATCGTCCACGGTGCCATCATTAAAGATGCGCATATAGTAATTTACTATTTTATCCTTGTCGACGGAACGCCTGGCGTCTCTTATACTGAGCAAATTGCATTTGTTCTCTGCTTTGTCTACAATGGTATTGATAAAAGACAGGTAGTTAAGGAGCGCTTTCTTAAGGTCGAAAATCTTAAACAAAAGAAAGTTGTGGATATTGCCAAGATAATTATGGATTTCTGCTATCAAAATGACATCAATCTGAAGAACTGTCGAGGTCAAGGGTACAACAACGGTGCCAAAATCTGTCTGGTGTGTATAAAGGAGTAAAAACGATCATCCTTCAGAGAAATCCTGAAGCTTTCTACATACTATGCAGCGCTCATAACCTTAACCTAGCTGGTGTTCATTCCCTTGTATCTTCTGTAGAAATGAAGAACTATATTGGCCGGATTCAGTTACTCTATAATCTTTTTAGTGGAAGCCCTATACAATGTCAAATCTTGACCTAGACAACTGCTTTGTCTCTTCATTAAACCTTACAAACCCGATCGAGTGCACGGATTGAGACTTTGAAGCCGTTGGTTAAGCAACCTAGAGAAATTATTTTTTCTTTGCAGAAACTTCAGGTACTTGATTTAACTGCTAATCTATTGAATGACATAAAAGTTTAGAGAAATGGATTTTTTGATTTGAGTTTATTATCATGACAACCTTCTGGTTTGAAGCACGCCAAGCAATTGTCAGCGTGTCATTTCAATCAGGAAACATTACTTTAGAGGAAGAGATAAAGCTTATGAGGGTTCCTATTGAGGATCTTATGAATTTAGATATTCTTGGCCCAAATTAATTAATGAAGCACATTTGGTTACCTCCGGTCTAGCTAGATATTAAGAGTGCCATCATCAGGATATTCTGAAGCACGCCAAGCTTTTCAGTCCAAAAGAATAGCTCACTTCAATGGAGCTATTAAATAGAATCTATTAAAAAGGTCTAGAGTCTATCTTCGAATCAATAGACATTTTGTTACGTATTTTTAACACGATTCTCGTTTCCATTGCCGAAAGAGAGATCTTTCGGTAAGCTTGGTCTAGACAACATTAAGATCTACAATAAGTCAAGACCGGCTTACCAATTTCTTACTTATATCTAATGAAAACGATCTTGCAAAAAATCTGTGCTACAACGAGGTCATTCCAAACTTTGCTTTAAATTATGCCCGTAGAGTAAAATTCTCATGAAGCAATTAAAATATCTATTACATTTAAAACTCTTCGTTATTCGCAATGTAATAGAGTTCAGTAACATGTCAATTTGTGCTTCTTTTTTACTTTTATTTCAAATTTATTTTAAAAATAAATAGAAGCCTCCTTGACTGTATTTACTCCCTCGGACTTTAAAAGTGAATTTAGTTAAAGAAAAAAAAAAGGGCGCTAGATAAGTTTTGACCCCGGGCGTCATTAAGGGTCGCGGCGGGCCTATATATATATATATATATGTATATATATATATATATATATATATATATATATATATATATATATATATATATATATATATTTTATATATATATATATATATATATATATATATATATATATATATGTATATATATATATATATATATATATATATATATATATATATATATTATATATTATATATATATATATATATATATATATATATATATATATATATATATATATATATATATATATATATATATATATATATATATATATATATATATATATATATATATATATATATATATATATATATATATATATATATATATATATATATATATATGTATATAGTGGGCTAACCTGCAGTAATGCTTACGCTAGTGCAATAAGTTGCTAATCTTGAACTAAAGCAACGCTATTATATGGTAGATTATAATGCTTTGTTTGCTTAACAATAAAATGCGTTAAACCATCTAAATTGTACTACTAGGGAACACTTGCATGTGAAAAATACAAAGAAAAAACGAGTGAAGTTAAAAAATATAATATAATATTAATCAACTTAAAAACTAAAATAATACTTTCCAAAACAGAGTAAAAATATCCTACAAAAGAAAAGTTGGCTGCTTTTGCTCACAGGGTAGCGTTATAGTTTTTTTATTAAATTTTTTGTCTTCCAATTCTACTGTTTTGAAATCTCCATTATCTTCTAAAAAACCAAATTCATTGTTATCTTCCTAAGGAAAAGTTTTTTTATAATAATATCTTTTAGGATTTCAATTTTTTTCTCCTTTTGATGAGTTATTTTGTGATTATTAAGCATTATAATGCAAAGTTAGAGTTCTATTTTTGAACACTCTAAAAATATGCTGCAAAATGTACTAACTTTATCTTACAAGAACAGCAATCCATTTTTTATTTCTTTCAATTACTGCTTTGGTAAAGATTTCTGAATTTATTCTATAAACTCTGTGTGTTTGAATGTTAACAATCAGTAAGTTAGAAAACACTTCAACTAATTATCTAAATTATCTAATTATCTAAATTCAGCTAATTATCTAAAAGTGTAAATGTTAGTGCCGTTTGTGTCGCGAGTTAAAATTAGTTATGAAAACTTGCATAAAAAATGGGGCTAATTTTTAAAGTGTATTATAATTTTAAATACTTTAAGAATATATTAAAAACACTATATTAAATATCTTTTTAATTTTTTTTTTGCAGCAGTAAACTTGAAATAAAAAAATAAAAATTTCACATAAAGTATAAAAAGTATAAGTGAACTTCTAGTTAAATGTTCTCTCGCGGTGCTCCGTGATAAGACCGTAAGGACGTCTGGGAGCACCTAAATTAAAAAAAAAAACGTTCGAAAGACATCCAAAACGTTCATAAGACGTTCAAAAAACGTTCGATACGTTTAAAAGACGTTCAAAAGACGTTTAGTACGTTTAAAAGACGTTCAAAAGACGTCTTTTTAATATCCCGTCCCCACTAAGTAATTATATTAGATTATTGTATAATAGTTAATAGGGTGCTCCAAAAAGACCAAACGGTTTCATCACAGAGCACCGCGGAGGAACATCAACCAGGAAGTTCACGCCTTATTTCTAAAGAATGTCAGAATGGGTTAAAGGTTTCAAACATTAAATCTTTAGGTTTGGAGCTACTGGCCTATGGCTGCCTAATATTCTTCCTGCTCAATAAAAAATACAACAATAATAAAATAATTCTTAAAAATTTTAGTAAGCATTTTAGATAATAACTGAAATATTATTCTAGTTTGATAAATCAGAAGTAATTCAAGATAAAATGAAAAATTTTCTTTGTGTTTTTTCTTTCTGAAATGTTTGACTAATGCCCCTTGGTTTTAGATTTGAATAACTAATAAAATATTTTTTAATGAACAATTACAAAGATCAACATATAAGATCATATCAACAACAAGATTGCATGCAGTTTGTTAGAATGGCTTAATGAACTTGATATTTTAAATAAAATTATTTAATAATCATACCCTATGTTAATTAAACAAATTAAAAACAATTAAAACACATTTTTCAAAAACATTTTTTCGTTTGTTTGTTTAGTTTTTAAGCAAATTAGTTTACTTTTTACTGCGTTAAAGCACAATCCAAATCATGAAATAGCTAATGAGATTTAAAGTTCTTGCATTATTTGTCACCGTGGTACCGCATGTTGTTAGGTTTCTTACATACTAAATAAATCAATTGAAAGTATTTTATATTTGTATTGTTTACTTTATTGTATTTTATTTAGAAATAAACATTCCTGGCTGGTGTTCCTACGGGTGGTACTCAAAGAGCGAACAAGATGGCAACTTTTATTTTATCTGCAAAGACGGACAACGAAAAGTTTATGAAATGCAGAAAGGCCTTATAAAATTAAACAACATACTTGCATTCAAGCCAGAGTATTTGCGCTATATAAAGTGGTATTAATAAATGTTCCAGCATAATAAAAGTAAATGTAGTAATATTTTACCCATTTTTTTTGAATGGCGCATTGATGTAATAGTTTATAAGTTTATTTTAAAAGTTGGGATATTTAATTCAGTAAAATTTCATATTTTAAAAACTTATCAATAACTTATACATAAACTTCATTTTTTATGTTCAAATGTTTGATATGATATTAAGCTACCCCACCTCGCTGCCTACGCCATGCTTTACATTCCATAAGTAAGATATGATGTTAAAGATTTTAATTATTTGTAACTAAAGTCATAATGAACAATAATCTAAAACATAAAATATAATATTTAAGAAGATTGCATTGTTTGAGCAATTTGACCAATAACTTGCAATTAAAGACTGTTTTAATTAACTAATTTTGATCACTTCAGTGTTTTGGCTACTATGTTTTTATTTCGATCGATAATCTATACAATAATGCTGAACTTAATAGTTTTAATAGTAGTGTCCTTTGGAGCGTATTTGACACGAAACCCTTGACAGCCATTGAAACCGAGGTAGTGGCAAGTAAGTGTTGCAGCACTTTGCTTTATAAGAAAACGTGAACGAACGTGTATGCAAATGTCTAACGTACATACACTTCGATAGTAATGTTAAAACATTCTGAAACATTAATCAAGTTTTACAGTTTGATTTTCACTTAAAAATTGCATTGCGTCATGTTCTTCTTAACTATGATGTACAGCATATTTTTCCGTGAAAAACGTCATTACATATTTTTAGAAATTTTCGTATAACAACGTGCCAGCGTGGGTGAGTGGTTAGCGCGCTTACCTTCTGAACAAGTAAGCCCTAGTTTGAGTCAAACCATTTAAAACTTTTTTTTTTTTTTCCTACCGTTGGAAACTTTTTTTTTTTTTGTTTTTTTTTGACTATTTTAAAATACAAAATACTTTTGAAGTTTTATAGAGTGTTTCTGAAAACATATGTAACGATATTATACACTTAAACAAACGGAAAGATTTTAAAAAAGATAATATTTTTGAAAACATCAAAACACCGGAAGTTCGGTATGTGTCATGATTGAGATACTTATGTTAAAAACGTGCTCGGTAAAAGCATTAAGGATCAAACCTATTTAATTGTAACAGCTTTTCAAAACTCTTTTTTTTTCAACAAAACTTTGTTTATTTTTTTAAATGTATTGTAATACTAAAAGTCGTTAAAGAGACTTTGGTAGTCGTAGAATGTCATCATTTATAAAAATAAAACAGTTTTTTGTTTTATAATTACGTTTATTATAGAAATCCACAATTAAACAATTTTTATATTATAAATTAAAAAAATATATACTAATGTCAATTATATACTTTTTTAAAACCATTATCAGTTAATTGTTACTTTATTTAAACGCGTTTCGCAAATATAAATTTATTTGTTAAAAAGTGATAATGTAATTTATTTCACTAGTTACATAATATTAAGGAAACCATAACGCGGTGAAAGTTGCTTTACGTCGCCGTCTGTTGACAGTGATTTAGGCATTTATGTCAAAATAAAATGTCGTGTTTTAATTTTTTTTATTTTATTTAGATATATGTATAATATGTATCCAGTGTTATCCAAACATGATTTTTTTTTTCTTATAAGTTATGCACATTAACCTGGTTGATAAGCAACCTGATTGTAAAAACCAACAGCCGAATTCACATCTCTCCGTTACACTAACTGAGAATTTAAGTGACCGTTAAAAAAAAAATCTAATCAACCGGTTTAAGAAAAGGAAGGAAATAAATGGTATTCTAGTCCTGCCGTTTAGGTATATTACTCGCTCCAATAATTTTTTCAATTTAAGTTTTTCGTGCTGTTTTTATCATCTCATCTAATCGTTAAGATGCCAACAAACGATGATATTGTTTTTTAAATAATGGTTGCTGAGTAACTCTTATAAAACTTTATGTTTAAACTTCCACACAAACTTTTGCAAAAAGGTTGACCGGCTTTCCTTACCATTTATTTTCACATAAATTATGTCTGATGAAAAGCAATAAAAGTTTATACCTGATAAATACGTTTTTTATCAGATAAATTATATCAGATAAATTATGTCAGATAAATTATATCAGATAAATTATATCAGATAAATTATATCAAATAGTTTACATGACTTAAATTTTTTTTAAAACTGTTTTAATTGCAATCAATTTCACTGCGGATATCAAAAATGTTTTAATTGCAATCAATTTCACTGCTGATATCAAAAATGTTTTATATCGTCATGAAAATGCAGATATAAAAAATGTTTTATATCGTCATGAATAGGGTTAGGATTATTGTAAGATCACAGCAAAATAATACAATAGTTATTGTAATTGTTTTCAATACAATAGTTATTGTAATTGTTTTACCTCACAGTAATACAATACAATAGTTAATGTCATTGTATTACATCACAGCAAAACAATACAATAGTTTTAGAGCTTCAATGTATTGTTAGAAAAAAAAAATACAATAGTTATTGCAACTGTTTTTATTCACAGCAATACAATAACCATAAATAAAGTTTTAATTGCATCTCTGGTATTACAATACAATATTATTGTATTGTAATTGTTATTGTATTTAATTTTTACAATAACAATAACAATAGTTCTAACCCTAGTCATGAAAATGCGGATATCAAAAATGTTTTATATCGTCATATTGAAAAGGAAAATACATATAAGAAAAAAAACAAAAACTAATTTACGCTTAGGGATCGTCTTTAAATTACGTCACGTTCTAAGGGGTGGCGATGGGCTTAGTGACAACTCATACGGAACTTGGTTTTGTGAAAACTGATACGGAACTTGTTACTAAAGTGTTAAAATATTGTGACAATCTTTTTATTTTTATTTTTATTTAGATGACCTAAGAAGTCCTTACGGTCTTGTCACAGAGCACCGCGGATGAGAATTGGAAGTTCATGCCTCAAAACACTTTTTTTTTTTAACTTGCCCTGAGGTGGGATTTGAACCACGGATCCTTTGTTTCTGAGGCAAGTGCGCTATCACTGCACTCCTGTATCTGGCTTGGTTGGAATTCTTGTTCTTCTTTAAATCTCTTTAAGCTCGATTAAAATTTCGTTTAAAACATTACGGGTTGAAGACGATCCTTTTCCACTAATATTTTCAATCTTTCTCAGAAGAGCAAATACCTTTTTAAAAGAGCAACTTTTAGTGGAACCAACTTTTAGTGGAACCAACTTTTAGTGGAACCACATAAAAAATTCAACTCAAAACTTAAAAAAAATGCAGAAACAGGACATTCCCCAGTGGGCACAGGACGTAAAAAAGACGTCCTTAGGACGTTCAAATCGCGTCCGTCCGTCTCATTAAAATTCTAAACGTCTTTTGAACGTCTTATTCGCGTCCAATAATTTTTTCGTCCAGAATGCTTTATTAAATAAAAAAAAATCAGTGAAATCACGCAAGCGCTAAAACTTCATAAAATTTTTAAGTAACGCATTTTAAATAAAGTTTATTCAATTACAAAAGAAGTCTTTTTACAACAATTAATAGACACGTTCCATCTAATTTTTGTTTTTGTTATCAATTGAAAATTGTGGTAATATTGATACAGGTAATGAAATTTTTACAGATAATGAAATAAAAAGGTTTAAAACTGAATATATGCTATACTATGTATATATATACTTGATATACTATTAGTGTAGTATTGCTATATCAAGAACCAAGTTCTAACAATAAGATTTAGACATCTCATGCAGAATCGAATTTTTCAATAGGAAAACTTGTTAATGATCATGGAACAATTTTCCTGATAATTCTTTAAATTCAATGTCTTTACTTGACAACATTATGCTATTTTATAATGGAACCAGTACATTAGTTAATGATCTTCTTGAAATATTGCCAAATCAAGGTTTGGAACTTCCCAAAGATTCAAGGAGAAATTTAAAAGCACCTTATGAAAAGCGACTTTATAGACAGGTTCTTGCTAATTTATATATATTTTTTTAAACATTTAATTACTTGAGAATCGTATTAATATTGATACATATATTGAAATTGATACAGATATTGAAATAAATAGTTAAAAACTGGGTATATGATATACTATATATATATATATATATATATATATATATATATATATATATATATATATATATATATATATATATATATATATATATATATATTTATATACATATATATTAAGTATATACTTGACACTTGATATAGTATTTCAAGTATAATAATTGATATACTATATCAAGAACCAAGTTCTGACTGTTTGAAAGACTTAGACATCACAGAATCTCATGCATAGTCATATTTTTCAAAAGGAAAACCTATTAATAATACAGAGAGTTTATGGTGATAATTCAATATAATTCAATATCTTTAATTAACAACTTTTAGATTGTTCTATTCGGAATAATTGGACCAGTACATTAGTTAATGAATTTTTTGAAATATTACAATATCAAGTTTTGGAATTTCGCTAATAACCAATTACTTAACTTTAGTAATTAGTTATTAGTGAAGTTCAAAAGTTTTGACTAAAAAATAAGTCTAATTGAAAAAATCAAACCAGTCATAACAGTTATATAAGAGGCAGGAGGGTAGAAAATTTCCTTTACTCTAAAGGAAATTTTCTACCCACTTGTCTCTTATATAACTGTATTAACATATGAATAACCACTATAACACATGTTGGAATGTTATTGGCAATTTACTAAGTAACCAATGAGAAACACTCCTTAATTTCTCCTTTTTTTTTATCATCTAGGAAATTTTATTAAAGTAAATGGATTATACTTATTATTAAAGAAATTATATAGTCCTTTGATTGATTGCAAACCTATATTTCTATTGTATATATATATATATATATATATATATATATATATATATATATATATATATATATATATATATATATATATATATATATATATATATATATATATATATATATATATACACAACCCTTGGAATTAAGAAAAAAAAGGTTGACAATAATTTGTCGACATCAATCAAAAAAGCAAAAAAAAAGGTGATTCAAAAGTCTTACCATTTAACATAGAAACAAGGTCAGCATTATTTGTCGACCTCAAACACTTTTAGGTTTGCATGCCGACCCTAATTCCAAAGGTTATATATATATATA